GGGATATAGTGTGTGAGCCCACCCGTGCCCGCTGTAGGGCTTCCTTTGTAGACATTTTACCTCCTTGGTTAAATCCATTCCTTAGGTTTTTCTTCTTTTTTTTTTTTTGGAGACAGAGTCTTGCTCTGTCACCTAGGCTGGAGTGCAATGGTGTCATCTCGGCTCACTGCAACCTCCACCTCCCGGTTTCAAGCAATTCTCCTGCCTCAGCCTCCTGAGTAGCTGGGATTACAGGTGCCTGCCACCATACCTGAATAAGTTTTTGTATTTTTAATAGAGACGGGGTTTCACCATGTTGGCCAGGCTGGTCTCGAACTCCTGACCTCGTGATCTGCCCGCCTTGGCCTCCCAAAGTGAGAATTAATATTGTTAAAATGACCATAGTGCCCAAAGAATTTACAGATTCAATGCAATCTCTATTGAAATACCAATGTCATTTTATTAAAAACAGAAAAATGAATCCTAAAATTTGTATGGTATCAAAAAAGAGCCCAAAGAATCAAAGCAATCCTGAGTAAAGCTGAAGGCATCACTCTACCTGACTTCAAAATGTATTACAAGGCTATAGTAAACAAAAGAGCATGGTATTGGTATAAAAACAGCCACACAGACAAATGAAACAAAATTGTGAACCCAGAAATAAATACATGTACTTACAGCCAAATGATTTTTGACAAAGGCACCAAATACATACACTGGGGAAATGACATCCTCTTTAATAAATGGCGCTGGGAAAATTGGATATCTATGTGTAGAAGAATGAAATTGGATCCCTATATGGCACCATATACAAAAATCAACACAGATGCATTAACAACTTGAAAATAAGACCCCCAAAATATAAAACTACTATAAGAAAACAGGACAAACACTTCAGGACACTGGTCTAGACAAAGGTTTTATGGCTAAGACCTCAAAAGCATCAATGGCAAAAACAAAGATAGATAAATGGCACTATATTAAATTTAAAAGCTTTGCATAGAGTGAAGAGGCAACCTGTTGAACAGGAGGAAATATTTGTAAACTATTCATCTGACAAAGGACTAATATTCAGACCGTACAAGGAACAAGGAACTCAAACAGTTCAAAAGTAACAAAGAAATAATCCCATTAAAACTTGGGCAAAGGACAGAAGAGACCTTTCTCCAAAGAGGACATACAAATGGCCAACAGATGTATATAAATAATGCTCACCATCAGTAATCATCAAAGAATGAGAAAAGCACAGTATCATCTTATCCCGGCTATTACTAAAAAAGACTATTAAAAGACTATTACTAAAAAGACTATTACTGGCTATTACTAAAAAAGACAAAAAAAATAACAGATGCTGGTGAGGAATATGGAGAATGGGTAACTCTTACACACTGCTGGTGGGAATGTAAATTAGTATAGCCATTACAGGCCAGGCGTGGTGGCTTACATCTGTAATCTCAGCACTTTGGGAGGTCAAGGCAGGCAGATACCTGAAGCGAGGAGTTCGAGACCAGCCTACTCAATATGACAAAACTCACCACCCCCTGTCTCTACTAAAAATACAAAAATTAGCTGGGTGTGGTGGCGGGCACCTGTAATCCCAGCTACTCAGGAGACTGAGGCAGGGAGAACTGCTTGAACCCGTGAGGCGGACAATGCAGTGAGCTGTGATCGTGCCACTGCACTCCAGCCTGGGCAACAGAATGAGACTCTGTCTCAAGAAAATTAAAATAAATAAATAAATAAATTAGTATAGCCATTATGAACAGTATGAAGACTTCTCAAAAACTAAAACTAGAACTACCACATAATCCAGCAATCCCATTACTGGGTATTTATCAAGGAAGAAGAAATCAGTATATCAAAGGGATACTGTACTCCCATGTTTACTGCAGCACTATTCACAATAGCAAAGATATGACATCAACCTAACTATCTATCAACAGGTGAATGGATAACGAAATGTGGTATATTCAGCCATAAAAAAGAATGTAGCAACATGAATGGAACTGCTGGTCATTATATTAAGTGACATACGTCAGGAACAGAAAGGGAAATCTCACATGTTGACACTCACTGGTAGGAGCTAAAAAAAGTTGATTGCATGGAGGTAGAAAGTAGAATGGTAGTTATCAGAGACTGTGAAGGGTGTGTGGGTGGGTGCGGGCAGGGAGGACAAAGAGAAGTTGGTTAATGAGTACAACTATAGTTAGAAGGAATAAGTTCTAACGTTCGACAGCATTGTAAGGTGACTACAGTTATCAACAATGTATCGTATATTTTCAAAACAGCTAGAAGAGAGGACTTGAAATATTCTCAACACTTAAAAATGATAAATAATCAACGTAATAGACACCTCAAATACCATTACTTGATCATTACACATTCTATGACACATGCAACAAAATATCACATCTGCCCCTTAAATATGAACCAATATGATGTATTGACTTGAAAAAGGAGCAAGCTATCCTTGTTCCTTAATATGAAAACATGTAAATATTCACAACTTGCAGGATAAAATACCCCAACAAAACATTTACTGAAAATTTTCTTCTAAAATCTCACAATGATTAAACACATTTCAACAGGGCTTGAACTGTCTCTTCACACAGAACTGACAATAGTGGCTCACCATTGAGACGTGTGCGAGGGTGAATAGTGGCTCACCATTGAGACGTGTGCGAGGGTGTAAGGCTTGACAGGAAAAGGGATGCTCTGTATCTAAGCACCTAAATGTGTCTCTACTGAGAGTTTCACCATAAAACAAATATATACATCGTGTGATGTTTAAAATAAAAGCAGCATAACACTTAATAATAATAGATATCATAAGAATATGGCTATATCCTCTTCAGTGAAAAAGGAGTTCTGCTCTGATATCTGAGCAAAACTGTTACCATTTTTGCCTAAAATATCTGATGCCTAAGAGACCCTGCAGGAATAGCACCATCTCCATGGTATGCAAATACTGAGAATGGTTTAAAAACTTGGCCGGGCGCAGTGGCTCACGCCTCTAATCCCAGCACTTTGGGAGGCCGAGGTGGATGGATCATGAGGTCAGGAGTTGGAGACCAGCCTGACCTACATGGTGAAACCCCATCTCTACTAAAAATACAAAAATTAGCTGGGCGTGGTAGCGTGCACCTGTAATCCCAGCTAGCCAGGAGGCTGAGGCAGGAGAATCGCTTGAACTCGGGAAGCGGAGGTTGCAGTAAGCTGAGATCGCGCCACTGCACTCCAGCCTGGGTGACAGAGCAAGACTCAAAAAAAAGTCCTACTCCTACAGCTGGCCGGGCACGATGGCTCACGCCTATAATCCCAGCACTTTGGGAGGCTGAGGCAGGAGGACCATACGGTCAAGAGTTCAAGACCAGTCTGGTGGCCAACCTAGTGAAACCCCATCTCAACAAAAATTAGCCGGGCACAGTGGCTGGCGCCTGTAGTCTCAGCTACTTGGGAGGCTGAGGCAGAGGAATCACTTGAACCCGGGAGGTGGAGGTTGCAGTGAGCCGAGATCATGCCACTGCACTCCAGCCTGGGCGACAGACCAAGACACTGTCTCAAAAACAAACAAAAAAAAGTCTTACAGTTACACTTTTTGTTGTTTTGTTAGACAGAGTCTCGCCCTGTCACCCAGGCTGGAGTGCAGTGCAGTGGTGCGATCGCCACTCACTGTAACCTCTGCCTCTCAGGTTCAAGTAATTCTCCTATCTCAGCCTCCTGAGTAGTGGAGATTACAGGCGTGTACCACCATGCCTGGCTAATTTTTGTATTTTTAGTAAAGACGGGGTTTCACCATGTTTGCTGGTCTCAAACTCCTGACCCACAGTGATCCGCTCACCTCAGCCTCCAAAGTGCTGGGATTACAGGCCTGAGCCACTGTGTTCGGCCTTACAGTTACACTTCTACATTGGCTTTATGTTTCAAAGTCATTAAAGGAAAAAACGCCCTCTGGTACTGATGTCTGCATCTCAACTTTACATTCCATTCCAAGTCATTAACAGTCTGGAGTCAGAGACATACTGATACACTAGTTTTATCTGGATTACAAAATCAGGCACAAAATAGATCCCCTTATTGGCTGCCTTTTCCAGGATTTACCAGGTATTTGTCTACATTAATATGTGACTTTAGGCCAGGCATGGTAGCTCACGCCTGTCATCCCAGCACTTTGGGAGGCCAAGGCAGGTGGATCACCTGAGGTCGGGAGTTCGAGACCAGCCTGACCAACATAGAGAAACCCCATCTCTATTAAAAATACAAAATTAGCCAGGCATGGTGGCGCATGCCTGTAATCCCAGCTACTTGGGAGGCTGAGGCAGGAGAATCGTTTGAACTCAGGAGGCAGAGGTTCCGGTGAGCCGAGATTGCACCATTGCACTCCAGCCTGGGCAACAAGAGCGAAACTCTGTCTCAAAAACAAACAAACAACAACAACAAAAAGAAACATGATTTCCATGGGCAGCTTCTCTGCTTCTCTATTCCTGGGCCACGGAGAGCTGACAGAGCATCCAGATGTGGCCCCTAAACAATCCCTGCTGCCCGACAGCACTGACACCACGGGACCCTCACCCCATCTCCATCCATGTCTGGGTGTGAGCCCTTCCCAGGACCATGCCCGGTGCAGGCTCTTCCCAAGTTCATGTCACTGGGTCAGAGTGAGACGGAATCTCAGTAGAGATGAGAGGGACTGAGGAAAGGCATGGGCGAATGTGAGCAAACGCGTCAGGCAGGACACTTCAGAGTCGGAGAAGATTTGCAGCTCCAATGCATTGTCTCCTGCCTTTCTGAAAGGAAGAAGACAGAATGATCCACACAGAATCTTTCTTTACCTGAGTAAAAGCCATTCGGGACTCCTTTGCTCTCTTCTTCCGGGTTTCTTCCTCATGTGCCAAGAGTCTTTAGAGGTCAATGCTGAATAACAACAACAACAACAAAAAGTGCTCTTTATTGCTCAAAAACAACACACCCCCTCTTGTGTGACAGGCACACACATACACAGGGAGGAGCTCGCCCTGTGCAAAGATGGTCCTCTGCTGCCCACTGCACCAGGGTGGCCCCAGGGACAAGAAACTCCTACAAGAAAACCCATACATGAGTCTTCTGACCCCTTTCTTCAGAACCCTCTCCCCTCCTGGAGAAGCTCGCACACACGCTGCAGCAGTGGGGAGCAGACCCAGCCCTGATCAACCGCCATGCAGAGCCCAGCCCCCTTTCCCTCTCTGTGGCTCCCAGGCTGAGCTCAGCCCTCAGAAATAGAGGACGCAGAGCCTTGGTGCTCAGGGCTGGATATAGATGAGAATCATGCTGGGCACTGTATCATCAAGGGCGAGTCCCCACCTATGTGAATGGGAATCTCTGGGACACGGGTGCGGGCACAACAAGTGTATCTGCAAAGTACCTCAGCACTTCCACATGAAGCCAGGGGTAAGCTCTACTCAAACAGGGTCAGCCCAGCATAGCGCCCACCTTCTGACTCTGTTCTCCCCTTGGGACTTTGGGTTCATCAGGATCCAGACAGTGGAAGCAGAAAGATTCGAGAGAAGCATGCAGAGCAGGTGATATGGACCAGAGGAGGGAGTGAGGGTGCGGCTGGAGTGTTAAATGGGAGGTGGGTCACAGAAGTCCCCACTGAGAGGGTGATATCAGAACAGAAACCTGGGAAAGGAGGGGTGTTTGCACCTGCAGCTGAGGGGTCAGCGAGTTCCAGCAGAGGGACAGCCCACGTGAAGGCCCTGAGGCAGGAGCAACCTCAGCCCAGGAACAGGAAAGATACCTGCATGGCTGGAGCAGAGGAAGCGAGGAGGATACAGGTAGGAGATGAGGTCAGAGAGGTCCTGGGAGGGCAGATAAGACAGGGCAGATGTCTTCAAACGTTTTTCTCCCATATCTCAAAAGAATTTTGCAAATTATATATTTCCTCACCCATTTTAATTAAACATATAATATTTTCTTTATAAATTAACACAGTTACAATGTAATATCTTATATATTTGAAGTCCCAGGAAATACATGGTCGCCCTCATCTGAGATGTGCAGGACTGCAGGGGAAGGCATCTAGGGAGTCAGGAAGTCACTTTTGGACACCTGAAAGTGGAGATACCTGTTAGATGTCCTAGCAGAAAGTTGAGGAGAAGGCCAGGCGCGGTGGCTCACGCCTGTAATCCCAGCACTTTGGGAGGCCGAGGCAGGTGGATCACCTGAGGTCAGGAGTTCGAGACCAGCCTGACCAACATGGTGAAACCCCATCTCTACTAAAAATACAAAAAGAAATTAGCCGGGCATGGTGGTGGGCACTGGTAATCCATCCCAGCTACTCGGGAGGCTGAGGCAGGAGAATCGTTTGAACCCGGGAGGCAGAGGTTGTGGTAAGCTGAGATTGCGCCACTGCACTACAGCCTAGGCAACAAGAGCGAAACTCCATGTCAAAAAAAAAAAAAGAGGTTTATTTGGCTCATAGTTCTGCAGGCTGTACAAGCAGCACAGTGCCAGCATCTGCCTCTGATGAGGGCCTCAGGAAGCTTCCGTTCAGCGTGGAGGGTGAAGGGGCGCCAGCAGGGCAGATGAAATGGTGAGAGAGGAGGCAAGAGACAGAGAGAGGTCAGGCTTTTTGACAACCAGCTCTCAGGGGAACTAAGAGTCAGAACTCACTCCCTAGAGAATGACATCAAGCCATTCGCAAGCGATCTGCTCCCATGACACTCACCAGACCCTACCCCCAAGTTTGGAAATCACATTTCAACATGAGAGTTGGTGGGGCAAAACAAATCATATCCAAACAATTGCACATTCTGAGGCTATGAGTGGGGCTGGCGTCTGGTATACAACTGGAGGGTTAGCAGCAGCCAGGAGCACGAACAGACCATTCCCAGTCACTACCGAGTAGGGATCCCAAGCCCTGAGACAGGTGGGTGGGTAAGTTGGAAAAGATCTCTTCCTTTGCTTCCAGGGGCTCAACAGTGAAGAAAAACCAAGGCCTTTAAATGAGCAAAAAGAAGAAAGAAAAGTTCCAGAGACAAGATGCAGAATAGAAAAATAGGAGAATGGAAGAGGTGTGGGGCAGGAATTAAATGACACCAGGAAATCTGGGTGTATGTTTTCTCCAGGCTGTGATCAGTTACCCAGGGACAGAAGCAAAGTAACAGAGTTGGATGTGGGGATATCTGGGAGAAACACATGATTTCGTACACTTGACTTGCAAATCATGTAGTATCTGAAAGGGTTTGTTCATATCCAATTTTTTTTTTTTTTTTTTTTTTTTTTTTTTAGATGGAGTCTCGCTCTGTCACCAGGCTGGAGTGCGGTGCCGTGATTTCGGCTCACTGCAACCTCCGCCTCTCGGGTTCAAGCAATTCTCCTGCCTCAGCCTCTTGAGTAGCTGGGAATACAGGCACGTGCCACCATGCCCAACTATTTTTTGTATTTTTAGTAGAGACAGGGTTTCACCATGTTGGCCAGGATGGTCTTAATCTCCCGACCTCATGATCCACCCACCTCAGCCTCCCAAAGTGCTGGGATTACAGGCATGAGCCACTGCTCCTGGCTTTTTTTGTTTTTAAACAGGATCTTGCTCTGTCGGCCAGGCTAGAGTGCAGTGATGCAATCCTGGCTCAGTGCAGCCTTGACCTCCTGGGCTATCCTCCCACCTCAGCCTCTGGAGTAGCTGGGATGACAACAGGCACAAGCCACCACATCTGGCTAATTTTTAAATTTTTTATAGAGACAAGGTCTCACTATGTTACCTAGGCTGGTCTCAAACTGGGCTCAAGTGATTGTCCTGTCTCAGCCTCTGAAAGTGCTGGGATTATAGGTGTTAGCAACCATGCCTGCCATATCTCTATCATTTTAAAAATAAAACTGGGGCCGGGCGCAGTGGGTCACGCCTGTAATCCCAGCACTTTGGGAGGCCGAGGCGGGCAGATTATGAGGTCAGGAGTTTGAGGCCAGCCTGACCAACATGGTGAGACCCCACCTCTACTAAAAATACAAATTAGCCGGGCGTGGTGACGCACGCCTGTAGTCCCAGCTACTCGGGAGATTGGGGCAGGAGAATCACTTGAACCTGGGAGGCGGAGGTTGCAGTGAGGTAAGATCATGCCACTGCATTCCAGCCTGGGTGACAGAGCAAGCCTCCGTCTCAAAAAGTGCTGGGATTATAGGCATGAACCACCGTGCCCGGCCTCAATACTTTTAATGTTCCTTTAGAGCAAGGTTGTCCAATCCGCAGCCTAGGAAGGCTTTGAATGCAGCCCAACACAAATTCCTAAACTTTCTTAAAACATTTTGAGATTTTTTGCATATTTTTAATTAATTTATTTATTAATTTATTTTTAGCTCATCAGCTATTGTCAGTGTTAGGGTACTTTATGTGTGGCCCAAGATAATTCTTCTTCCAATGTGGCCCAGGGAAGCCAAAAGATTGGACACCTCTGCTCTGAAGAGACACTATGTAGTGACAGAGTCACTTTCTGCCCAGCTTTACTCTCCCACTCCCCCTTCCCCTCCCCCTGCCCCAATGCCAGGGAAGGGGAAGAGGATGACCTGTGGGACTAATGAGTCAAGTCACTTCCCTCTGCCTTAACAGGGATTGCAAGTGGAAGCTAACTTCTGATGCCGTAATTATAAAATGCACCAGCCTTAATAGGCAGGAGTTTTGCAATTCTCATCTTCATCTGTGTATTTTAATCTTATAAAGACAGAAATCAACAGGTCAAAATGTAGATAACATATCCAGTCAATTCACAACTCACCTGGACCCAGGGTCCTCCTGTTTCCTCATTACGGTGTGTTTCCCTCCCTCATTCCGTACACAGCTCTCATTCTCACCTTCTTTCTCTAGCTCTTTCCTTCCCCTTTATTTTCTCCCTAGGATTCTGCTCATTTTGAGCCCCTCTCTTCTCCTGCTGTTTCTCCCCTTCTTCCCTCTATTTCTTCTCTTCCACCTGTTCTTTCCAGTCTTGCAATTTTTTTCACCTCATATTCCTCTTTCTTCCTAATCTTTTCATCGTCCCAATCTCCACATATTTCTGGCTCTTTGCTCCCCATTTCAGCGCCCCCTGTTAAATTCCCTCTTCCCTGTTACAAACCCTTGTCCCCACTCTTTGGCACCCCCAGATCCCAGGCCTCCCCGTGCTGTGGTTCTCTCTCTGCTCTCCTTGTCTTCGGCTGCCCCTTCTTTTTGTCCCAGCACCACACTGCTCTGTCTGCCCTGGCTCCAAATCCCTCCTCCTCTCTCCCACTCTCTATGTGAGGAGCCTCCCCCTTTGCTGCCACCCGCCCTACCTTGCTGTCCTTCATCTCTCTGGATACTGTGCGTTTTCTCGAAATGTGTCTAGTTACTTTTCTCTCCTTGCAACTTTCTTGGCTGCTTCTTTCACTCTTACTGTCTCTTTGAAAATCTCTAACCATCCTCTACTTCGCCATCTGTTTATTGGTTTCCCTCATTCTTTCCTCTGTCTCAGGTTTCCTACTGCTCTCTCTGTCCCTCTCCCGATCCCTTTGGCCCACACATTCACAAGAGGGTTTGGGGTAAGATGCCTGCATTCTGGAGAGCATTTTCCAGGGAGTGGAGGGGGCCAGGTAAGAACACCGGGTGTCACAGGACAGGCCCTGGGCACCTCCCCAACGCGGGCTCAGGGGAGGTCTGGGGAGCAGCAGGGCCGGGCACGAGGAGGAGGGAGGTGGGGGGCGACGGCACCTTCGGACAGGGGTGGGGTCTGCAGGATCCCAGGACCAGACAGAGCACGCGGGCTCTGGGGCGCTGCGCTCCAGGGGCCGACGAGGGCGAGGCCGGGATGCGCCCAGGACGGGAATCCACCTCTTGGGTGAGGACTTTAAAAAGCCCGGGGTTGGAGGAGGGGTCAGGAAAAGGTTTTAAGCGGGAGGAAGCAGCAAAGGGCCGGGGACAGGGAGCAGCCTCAGAGCGACTTCAACCCAAAGGGAAGCGATTCCGGACCCACACCGTGAGGCCTGTATTCACCTGGGATGGAGGGCGCGGTGCGGGGATTTTAAAGCCCGTAGCGACCCCGGGCATCGGCTGTGGAAATGGGAAACAGGGAGCGCAGGTTTAATCTACACAGAGGGCCACTCACGCTCAGCGCCGTCACCTTCACCCAACACGATCCGTTTCCGGGACTGTAGGAAACTGCGCATGTGCGGAGAGAAGAGCCCAGGCAGCCTGGAGGCGTGGCGTGGTTGGAGTGGGCGGGGCCTGCGCCGTTTTAAGGTTAAGCAGCAGAGTTGTGTGGGCCACTTATGTTGGAAACCAAAATATTTTCCACTTACCAAGTTGAAAACGGTTTATGGTAAAAGCATTTTGCCTGCAGGTTGGACCCGATCCTGCTAGGGAGTCTCCTGCAGCTTAGCAGTCCGGGAACTGGGATTTCAGTGGGGGATCCACAACTAGCAGTGGCTGGATCCATAAACGTTATTGAAAAACAAAAATAAAGTGTCTGGAATAACTCCACTGGATTTCAAGACTACCAATATAGGAAAGATAATAAAAATTGTGTGGTACTGGGGCAATAAAAGACATGGATTGATGCAATACAATAAGTGAGTGCAAAAATAGCCTCCACAGGTACTTCCAACTGATTTTTGACAAAGTTACCGAGGGAATTGAAGGAAGGAAGAATTTTTTAAAACTGGTGAGGAGCTAACTTAATATCCATAGCAG